GCTCTTTTCACTCCAGCACCTGAGCGTGGCAGGTGGGGCTGCACAGCATGAAGGCCGGGCGGCTGCGTGAGGGCAGGAGGGTAAGGGATAGCAGAGGCACAGTGGAATCCTGAACTACCACAGAAACATAGAACACCCCGAGCGGAAGAGATCATACGAGTTGAAATCCTGCTGAGAGAGATGTCCTCGTGCCCAGAGGTGTTGCGGAGGACACGGCAGCATCGCCCCAGAGCACAGTGGGCAGCAGGAGGCAGGTGGGCGCCCCGCCGAGAGCCGTGCCCGTAGGCAGGAGCGAGGCCGGGGGACGGTGACTAAAAAGGGGGTGGAGAGAGGAAAGGGAGGGACGAGAGGGGGGGAGGGGGGAGAATAAATAAATAACCAGGGGAAAAAAAAAAAAACCTGCATGTCAAGTCTGAGGAAATGCTGTGGGAACTACAGCCGGGCTCTTTTTTTTTTTTTTTTTTCGCTCTTCTCTCTTCTCCCCTCGCGTAGCTGAGAGGAAGGGCGGCACGAAGGAGAAGTAGGCAGCCCCATGCGCCGGGCCGCGCCGCCGGGGCGCGGGGGCTGTGCCGGCCGGCGGTAGCGCGGCTCAGGCGCCATGCCGGGCCCGCCGGGCTGGCTGGCGCTGCTCTGCCTGGCCGCCGCGGGACGCCCGCAGGTAAGGGCAGCGCGGGGACGGCGGGACGACTCCCAGCGCCCCGCACCCCGAGCCCGCCTCGGCTCTCTGCCGCTCTCTCTCTCTCTCTCTCTCTTGTGGTGGCGGTGGTTTCTTTTTCGCAACTTGCGAGCGCCTTTTGCTTCTTGCAAACGCTGATACTTTCAAACGAAGGCAGGGGATCGGCGGGGAAGGCAGCCCGCTGCTGTTGAGGGGCAGCGTTTGCACGTAGAGCGAAAAAGAAGGCAGGCTCCACCCTGCCGAGCGGATTTACTGCGGGGAGCGTGAGCGCGCTCCTTGGCCCTTGCCGTCGTGAGCCGCGCCGATCGGGCGTGGGCCGTGGCCCAGCTGCTCGCGCGGAGCCCACGGCCCGGGCGGCTGTGCGAGCGCATCGAGAGGCCTCCGCGCCTCCGGGGGAAGGGCGGCAGCGAGCGCTGGGTGCCGGCGGGCAGAGCGCTGTCCGCGACGCTCCCCGAAGCACGGGCTGGCTGCCTGTCGTGTGCGGTCGCCGGCATCGCCCCGCTCTCGCGGAGCCTTTCCTGATGCGGCTGAGCCTCCTCAGCGCCGTGCCGAGGAGCTCATAGAAGGGCTTGGGTTGGACGGGACCCCTGGAGAACATCAGTCCGACCCTCTGCTAAAGCGGCTCCTTCTTGTAGGTCGCACGGGAAAGCGTCCCGGCGGGTTTTCGGTATCACCGGAGAAGGAGACTCGGCAGCCTCTCTGGGCAGCTTGTTCCAGTGCTCCGTCGCCCTCACAGGAATGTAGTTTTTCCTCATGTTTGTGTGCAACTTCCTATGTTCCAGTTCGTGCCCACTGCCTGTCACAGGGCACCAAAAAGAGCCTAACCCCATCCACATGGCTTCTACATTTTAGCTACTTGTAATCATTGATGAGCTCCCCCCTGAGCCTTCTCTTCTCCAGGCTTAACAGTCCCTGGTCTCTCAGCCTTTCCTCGTTCGGGAGGAGCTCTCACTTTACTTTTTCTAATTAAACTGCTTAAAAGTAATTCCTCTTTCTTCATGTTATCTCGGGCCTTCTAGGCTAGCAGGTTTTTCCTTCCTACACTACAGACGCTTTATTTCTCCCATTAATCACTATTTGGCAGCCATGTGTGCTTCTTTCATGTGAACTTCTACAGTTTCTCTCTCTCATTACTCTTTATTAGGTGCAAGTGTCATTTTAAGTGCCTCTCTCAACTTAGTGCTGTTGTAGCGCTGCGTGAGTCATGGTTGGGCTCCCTGAGAGCAAGGTGCAGCTTCAAGGAAAAGAGATTACGGAGGAAGAAAAAAGCCTCTGTTGTCTGCAGCTTACAATTTAATGTCTGACCACATAGCCCTGAGAGCCTTCCCTCTGGATCTCTGTTCCTAAATATGTTGCCTTGAAACCACACAAGCCTTTTTTTTCCCCGCCAAAATATATGTTTCTTTCTGTCCACTCTCACCCCTTAGGCTTCTCTTAAATAGCTGCTTTCCAGGTGTCCTCCATATGTATATGAACAAGCCTGCATGTTTCAAAAGAGACCTGCCCATCATAGATTTTGCATGGATTCTCCCACCTCCCATCTGTAACCTCTATCTGCCTATTTTCTGCCTGCTCTTCAGAACTGTGATCAGTGCACTGAGGTGAGCAGACTTCAGTGGTCTTTGTACTTTTGTTCCAGTGACACCTTCTTCCTTCTGGAGCTGTTTTGTTTTGGGGCGCTTGTTCTTTTGGAATCTCCTTGTTGCCTGAAACCTGCTACATTCTAACCTTGGAAATTTAGATCTCTGTGCTTTAGATACCTTGAAGTAGGAGCCAGTAGGTCTGTCAATTCAGTGATTTTTAAGAGGATGCAAAACAGGGAACTTATATTTACTTGGGGCAAACATGTGAAGTCTTTTCTCTGCTTTCAACATGTGCTTAGTTTTGAGTCTGTAAGTGCATGGGGTGCATCTTTCCATGGCCAGTGCTTCAGACAAGTAAGCAAGATAATAAGGGATTCCAGGAAATCTGTAGCATTAAGTTTGCATAGAAAAAAAAACATACATTGTTGAAGAGCTGGTTGACTTCAGTACCTTGTCTGCAACAGTGACAGAGCTGACAAGTCCAGAACGTAAATGCAAGGCAGGCCTGGAGAGATGCTGCTCCCAGAAGTCCTCCAGGTTCTGCTTTGGCTGACTGGTCTGAACGGTGGCTTTGTAATCCCCTTACGGGTTGTCATTTCTGATGGAGCCAGTTATGAGAATCAGTGCAGCTGGGCTGAAGTTTGTCTGATGCACTCGTGTTAATACAGAACAGTGGTGGTAGGACAGTAAAATCCACAATGTATTTCCTGTGAGGAATGAGAAACACTTGCAAATGTAAGTTAATGGGTACTCATGGTGCAGCTGAGAAAAGACATCATCGTCATCATTTTCGCCAAAGAGGAAGCAGGAACAGAGAATTCGTGACTTGCTGTAGGTCACACACCGAGCGTGGAGCAGAACTGCTGGGAGCAGAGCTCACCCTCCTTGTCTTGTGCTTCAGCCACAAGATGATCTTTTCCGAGTGATGCATCCTGGGCAGCTGTCAGAGGACACGGCGTTAGGCTTTATGGAACACAGTCTGCATTTACAGTGTGCATTTAGAATGTGCATTTACAAATACGCAGTAACCCAGCTGCCTGATGTAACATCAACTCTTCTTATTCTCTTGTATAGCAATGGGATTCCTCCACTGCTTCGTAGTCTTTGCTTTACAGGGAACATTTAGAAGTCTTCATAATCTAGAAAAGTTTTGGCCAACATCTGTCTGTTAACTAAAATGCACTCTAAGGTGAGAGGGAAAAAAATAGATAATAAAAGTGTCCATGCTGTGTTAGATCATGGGTCCTCCCAGTCTGTGTTCCTGCTTTGACTGGGACCAAAGGAATCACTCGATAGAGCAGAACTTCTGTAACAGCTCATCTGAAGCCTTGGGTTTGTTCTGGAGTTAACAGTGTAAAAGTTACTGTAGTTTATTTGTCCAAATGCCCTTGCAGGAAAGGCACCTGAGAACTTTTTATTGCTTTAAAGTTTCTGCTGGATTATATGAAAAACATTTTACAGCACCGCGTGTAAGAGGAATAACGCATTGCATATAAAACCAAACCAAAACATGGTTTAAGAAACTGGTGTTGCTTCTCTTTTCATGTTAAGCATCATCTTCCTGATGTAATTTCTACTTTCCCACAGACAGGACCAAAACAAACCTTCACCACATTCCACAAGTCAGTAGAACTCAGAGCCTATCAGCTGTCTGTAGCAATACTAACCCTTGTCGTTTACGGCACAGAAAGTCACGGAAACCTCAGAGCATTCTCCTCTGGCATTTATGCCTTAGCACTGCTCAGAGCAGTCTTTGCATGTGCCTGTCTGTCCCTCTGAATTGAAATGCTGAAAGACCTGCTGTAGGAGGAACGCGTGTAGATGGAGTGAAGGGGTGACACGTGCTGTCCTGCTGCTCCCTGCCCACTTCCCCTCTGTGTGACCGGGGCTCCTGGTGGCATTTGCAGTGACCAAGCCAGCAGGGTTCCCTGTCTGTATTCCAAAGAAATAAATACAGTAATTCTCATAACAGCAGAATCCAGGTTGCCCAGTGAGATGGTAGGTGCTCCATCCCTGGAGACACTCAAGGCCAGGCTGGACAGGACTCTGAGCAATCTGATCTCACTGTAAGTGTCCCTGTTCATTGCAGGGGAGTTGGACTAGACAGCTTGTAAGGGTTCTTCCAACCCAAACGAGTCTAATTAGCTTACAGGAGGTGGGCAGCAGGGAGAAGAGAGAAACTGGGCTGTATGGTTCTTTGAGTCCTCAGCTGCAGCTTTGTTCTTGCAAAGGCTGCCCTTTCCTTTCACTGGAAGCTTGGCATGCCATCCCTTCAGCTGTGGGCTTCTGCTGCAGCTGCTCTGAGACTGGCTCGTTATTACTGATGGAAAGCACAAAGGCAAACGTTTGTGTGTTATAGATGCAATATAAAAATTAAGTTCTGTTTAACCAGGTTGCACTATGGACTTGGGTAGGCCTCTGTCTGTGTAATGCAATAGTCTGCCTGCAAGAACTTGCCCTGTTTTATGACTTAGTCTTTGAACACAGCCCAAAGTTCACACAGATGTGGGATGGAGCAACTTGAAAGCTGCAGGGTGGGCTGCAAGGGTGGCCCTGGCTACATGTCAGGGCTCCAGGGAAGTGTGGGTGTCCTGGTGGGTCACTGCCCATTTGTCACCGTGCCGAGGCATCGTGCCTGTGACGTGGTGTCTTCATGGTGGTGGGCACCGTGCTGGGCTCAGCCCCACTCCACGGGGCTGTGCTAGCTGGTGCTAAGCACTCCAGAACACTCTGGTTTCTGTCCTATGCCTGCACACCTACCTCAGCTGCTCTGCATTTCTCCCTTTAGTTACCTTTCTGTTTGTCTGTGCCGGCTATGAGTTCTCTGGGCGGGGGATTTGGCTTTCTTCTCTGTTTGTACAGCGCTTAGGATGTCATGGCTGCAAACACAGCTGAAGACTCATTAATCACAGCAGGTTAGGGCCCTGTCCTCTTCTCACCAAAGTCACATGGAGGCCTGCTGGGAAGGAAGCAGATACATCCTGTAGCCCACAGCCACCATGCCATTCCTAACCCTCACTCTTGTTCCCCACCCCAATGGCAGGGACCAGGAGAGGCTGTGCGTGGTGGGAGAGCCAAGCTGGTTTAATCCACCCTGCAAGAGCCAATTAGCTGGGGAGGGGTAAGAAAAAAAAAAAAAAAAAGTGAGGTCATTCACCCTGACCGCTTTGTGGCTACTCCAAAAGAAAAAGAAGTGTATAGGAGCTGTTCAAGAATGACAAAGAACAACATTTGTGACTGCAGATTGGTGCAGAGTATATTTAGTCAGTGGTCAAAATGGAGGGAAAAGAAAAAGTCTCACATGGAAAAAAAAATACTGTGAAGTTTTGTTAGGCAACCTATTAATCTGGAGTACAGATAGGGAAAAATGTGCCACTAGGTTCGTATGAAGGCTTAAAAATTGCTTATGTAGCACACAGGGGAATCTATTTTGAGCCTGTTATTTTGCTGCACCAAATAGTTTTGCCTTACGAGCATCGTGTTCTCTGTAACTTTTCATTGCTCGGCAGCAAGAACAATGAGATGATTCCATGAATCTGTTCTCACAGGAAGAAAAAGGCTCTCCCCTGCTATAATACTGCATGTAGTAAAGCAGGCTCATCATGGAAATCAGCCAAAGCCCCATCAAGTCGGGGAGGGGTATTCCTGCTGACTTGGCTGAACCCCGGCACAGTTGGTTCCTCATGGTGACACTAAAAGAGTAAATTAACCATTTCTCAGCCCAATCCTGCGTCCCTTCGCAAAAGCAGTGACTCCTTCTCGATGAAGGCAGTGCAGACAGACCCTGGAAATCTGTCGTGGTTATTTCTGCATTGAGATTCAACTTCAGTGATGAAGCATGGACAAGTAATCTTCTGAAGCACTCCCTGTACGTGTGTCTCTAGTGCCTTATAATGATTCTAATTGGAAGTGCCAATGGGGGAAAGGTTACTCACAGCAGTGGCTGACGCTGTGCCTGGAGGGCTGGGACTGTTGAGCTCTCCTTGTAAGCGGTGCTGTTGCACCTGTTTCATTTAGGAGGGAGACCTTGCAACTTTCCTCACAAGCACAGCTATGTAGTAGCTTTGGTTGTGTCCTTACTCTGTTGTTCTTATTCCTGCTTGTTAGGGACTGTTGTGTTGCTACCAAACCTCTCTGTTAAATATTTTGGTTTGGTTGGCTTTTGGGTTTCTGCTCTCTGATTCATCTTTAAAGCACCCTACCTAGTAGCTGCCAGTCTTTGAGTGACTGTGGCAGCGAGGACCAGCAGGCTGATGCATTCAGGATGCCACGTGTTGGCAGACGCATGTCACAGTACACAGGTCCAAGCCCGGAGCTTGTTGTGTGGAGATGACTTTGCATCTGCTGGGCATGTGATGGCGAGTTTTCAGCCTGCAAAAGAAAGCTGCACGATGGACGTGCTCAGTTGGCTGCATTCAGCTCCGCCATCTATCTTCTCAGCCATCTCCCAACTGCTATCCCTGCGGTCTCAGCATGCTGCTGCCAGCGTGGTCTGTGTGACACTTCTTTGCGTGGTGTACCCACTGCAAGCAGCACTGACTGCTGCTCCTTCCCCTCTGTGGAGCATGACCTGTTGCTCAGATGCTTGCTTTTACCACATGTTAAAACCAAAAGGCAATGGGAATAGTCAGGATTGAGCTTTGACCACTGCTTATCCACTTTCTGGCTGCAAGTTACATTTTTCTCTTAATCTCTTTATTATCTATTTTATTCTTCATGTTCCTTCTGGCCTCTTTAGGTATTCAGGCTCTAGCAGGGTTTCAAGGACCTATTTTTAAGATTGGAATAATATTTAGTCGGTAGCTGTTGCCATTTCCCGGCTGTATTTTACCACGTGATGGTAGTTTTGTGATGTGGTTTACTGGTCACTGGAAAGTTGACATCACCAAAAGCATTTCATTCACAATCTGAAATTTTTGTGTTGAATTACAGACCTGCAAGTGAATAACTGGAATTGTGTGGTGGTGACTTGTGTGCTGTTCTAATTTAATTTTTTGTATCGGCAGTGAAGCCAGTCCCTGCTGAAGGCCAAGGTGCCAAGGCTGCAGGGTCTACTTCAGATTGCCTGAGAAACTGTTGGTCAGAGCTCAGCCCTGTTGACAAGGGCAAATAAAGCCCAAGCCAAGGAGCCGTAGAAATATTGTAGCAGTACATTAAGTATGGCTAAGAATCTCAAAAGCAAGTAGTATGGGTATGTTCAGGGCCCAGAGTTCAACTAACAAGTGGCGTGCAAGGCCAGAGCCACCTGAGTTTGCTCTCCCATAGGTAGTTTGGGTTGGCAGCACTAAATGGAGAAAGAATGTGCTTTGCTCAGTGAAATGATGGGAGATATCTTGAATGCTCTCCAGAAAAAACCACACTGAGCACAAAGGTGTCATCTTGAGGTAGATAGGCTTTGGCGTGTCCCTTTACATCTCAGCTTTTCTAAACTAAGATTATCGCTAATGAGCAGTCCCCATTAAGGCCTCAGGTTCTTGTTCAGAAATGACATGGGAAAAAGGCTGTGGAAACCCCCGAGCTTGTTCTTCCAGATTCTTTCTTTTAAAAGAAAGAGGCCCGTGCAACTTTATCTTCTCCGACATGTCCGTCTGAATATTCATCTGAGTGAGAAAGTAATTTTAGCATCCATGACACACAGCTTCTGCTGTCACCCGATTGCTCAACAGCACCGAGAATAAATATTTCCGTAAGCCTGAGGACAGGAATCTGAATGCTTCTGGTTCCCCTTTCAGAAGCACCTGTGTGTGTGTTTTTTCAAGGCCCAAGTAACATGGTTGTGCTTTGCAGCTGACTCATTGAAGTTCTCCGACCCTACGAGCACAAGCACACTCTTGCTTAGCGTTCTTTTCAACAAATGGGAGGAAAAAAGGGCTTGGCACTAAAGTACAGTCCTCCTGCAAACCTTGACAGGAGCACGCATGTTTCTCCAAGGAAGTCAGTGGTGCTACTCATGTGCTCGAAGGTAAGCAGGTGTTGGCATGCTTTACCAAACAGCCTTTGACAATCCACTGAGCCCAGAGGATATATGTTGTTTTTTTTTCTCTGGATTCTTCTCCTGTTGGGTATTCTTGTCTTATTCTTCTGAGGAAGTGTTTATCACGGCTGAGGAGGGAAGGACCACCAGTGTTCTTCCAGTTCAGCCCCTGTTCTAGCAGGACCCTCTACTGCAGGCTGCCCAAAACCAATTGAAAGAAGAACAGCTAACTTTATTCAGGAATTGGTACAAATATGTGTGCTTTGCACACATTTTAAGTGATAAATTAAATGTGCAGAAGATACCTAGGCCATTTTAAAACATTCATTCACATCTTGTGGTGGTATTTACTGCAAACATTTACCAATAGTGAGACTTAAACGAATAACCAGCTTGGGTTTTCTTTGTTCTGTGTGATTACTTCAGATGAGGTTGGCATCTTTGCTTTCACTGAGGCCCCTTCTTTAAAGAGAAGAGCTCCACGATGTCAAAATCACCATTGCCTGGGCAAGCTTAAGACTTTGGAGACTTGTTTCTCTTTCCTGCTTCGCCACTAATTTCCTGTCACCTTTTGAAGCTAGCTGGCTTCTGGGCTGGAGTTCCTCCTCTGTGAAATGAATTGCACTTCCTTGTCTCAGATGGACGCTGTGGCTGGGAATGCGTTGGTGCTGGTGGAGCATCAGCCCATCGTGCTGCTGGCAGCACATGTGCTTAGTATTGGATTCTTGCACCCTCCAGAAAGCTGATGTCCTGTTTGACAGTGCTCTGCAGTCCTCTGACAGATGATTGGACAAGGAACAACCGAACTTCAATGGGGCCCTGTTAAGAAAAGGCTCCGAGATCACTGGATCTACCCAAAGAAAATGTGAAGGTTCTGTTGTTTCCATTCCCATCTTCTCCATGCTCTTCTTTCACACTCAGCAGGTCCAGCCAGTCTTTCACCTTTGTGAGCTCAGAAGGGAGTTAACAAATGGACACTGATAGCTTTGTCTTTATTTCATTGAGATAAATAAAAGAAGGAATAGTGCAGCTTTGTAAATGCATTGCCTTGTCTCAAAAGGGGAAGGACGCTGTCGCAGAGGATAATGCTCATTGACACAGAGCATAGATTTACGCAGCTGCAGCTGGGAGTATTTTGCAATAATTGCCCTCTTCATGCTACGAAGCAGGAAGGTCCAAAGCAGTTTACAAAAGGTAGTGAGCAATTAGCATATGCTCCTGGCCTCCGCGCAGGGAGGTTGCTTGTTCTTTTCAGGATGAGTGTTGGTTCTCAGAAATTATTCCAAGCCCTTCTGCTGAATGTCCTTCAGCAGATTTGCATATCCTTCCTTAAACGGGACAACTTTGCCCTGGTTTGACACTTCAGTTTTTAGCCTTTTCTTCTAAAGAGGAACTTTCAAACTGGGGCAAACAAGGAAGAAAAGAATGTTCTGTTGATAAAGCAAGTGGCTGGATCCATCCTTGGTCTCACTGCTTTTCTTGGCACTTCAGACTCCTGGGAATAGGAATCGATTGCTCAAGATCTTCTCTCTGCTGCTCAGGGAAGCAGCATAGTGTGAGCCCCATTCTGTCGAGCTTGTTTTTATCTCCTTGCATTACTGGAGCATTTCAAGAGTGTCTCCAATGGTGCTGAGCAGCATCTCCATTCAGCTGCCAGGCTGGCCAGCTTTCTGTTCATAGATCACCTGTTGCTTCACCAGCACTGGTTGTTGTCCTGGTAATTGGGAAGATGAACAAGGTGGCTGTCAGGAGTAAAGCAGAATGAAAGCTTTTGAGAGTATGGAAGTGCTTATTTATGCTATGGTAGGTGATGCTTTTGTGTGTGGTGCTGTGCAAACATGAAATGCAATCTTTGTTCCAGAAAATGTATGATCTGATCATAAAGCAAGATACTGCTAATAAGTGAGAAGAAAGAGGCAAGGAAGCAATAAGACAAAAGAAGTGTCCTTGCAAGATTGAACTCTTAATTTCACATGGGATCGTTGTAGTGATAAAAAATGGCTATAAGATGTTAATAAGCTGTAAAAGTATGAAAACTGAAAAGCTCTGGCTTGAGGTACTTAGTCTGTTTCAGGCACAGTTTTGGTAAATGCAAGTCATGCACCAGCTTATGGCTCAAACTCCAAGCCAGGAGGTGGTGTTTTAAAGAAAAAAAGTCATCTTCTTTCGTCAGTTTTAAGTCACAAGACCTGTCCCAGCATTAGAAGATCAAGATGCTTAGAGAAAAACAGTTTATATTCAAGATATTACAGTTGATGCGATTAGAAAAGGAAGAAAGAGGAGAGGAAAAGACACAGAGGAAACCAGGGGAGAACAATAAGTAGTGGAATAGAAGCAATTATCAGCAGGCACAGTACTTTTATGCACTATTAGACAGCCAAATCTCTTGCTGAGCAGCAGCAGAAGTCCTGGTGCAGCTTTCTCCAAGTAAAAAATTGAGTAAATGAGATTTTAATAGCGGCATTCAACCATACTGAGTAATTTCTTGCTATGAGCTGGTTTGGAGTCATTTAACCAATTGGAGGATCACCAGCTGGATGTGAGGTGTTGAAGTTGCCTGGAGCACCAGTGCCAGGAGACTCCCAAAGCAAGGTCCTCACGTGTAGCACTTCCACCTGGTTTGTTTGGGATGGGTTGTGTTGGATTTTTTGTATTTGGAGAGGAAAGAAGGCTGTTGGCTTAGTTTGTATCGCCTTGGTGGTGGCTGCCTCAGTTAAATGAGGTCACCTCTACAGAGCACCTTGGGAGCCATAAAAAGCTGCAGAATTAAGGTCTGGCATTTTCTGGGACTAGCCAGGAGTGTTGTGTGTTCTGGTGGGAAGCCGGGAACTTCTTGAACTTCTTCTTTTCAAAGGGTGTAAATAATTCACCGTATTTGTTTGCCGCATGCCATATTTCAAAACTATCAGTGACCCAGGTCTTGATCTGGGGTCGTATACGTGGAAGGGACTATAGAATTATGTCAACACCTTTTTTTGTTTGTTTGTTACAATTGTCTTGAAGTCATAGGTTCAAAATAATTGAGTATTGTTAAAAAAAAAAATAAAAAGGTTAAATAGCATGCCAGAAGTTTGTGACAATTGCAGGATTGTGGTATGATTGATTTATCACCTGGCTGTATTCCATGTTGTTGTCTACAAAGAACCTTTGAAGTCATAAATGTTTAATGCTTTACTGCTTGGCTACAAAATGCTACACTGGAGAAATTTTTTGCTTCTCTCTCTCAGCACTGTGATGAGATAGGTGTGAAGCTTTCCGGGTATATTGGGTCTCATGCCCTCTCTGTCTTTTCTCCTCTCCAGTTGTCACTACAAAGCACTCTGCCATGTGACAGTGAACAACACTATGAATACTCTGGACGGTGCTGCAAGAAATGTGAGCCAGGTATGTGAGTGCTGGGCTGTACTGCCTCACTAATTGAAAAGCTCTTTAGAAACAGCTCAGGAGGTCAGTAAGGCGACTTGCTCTCGTGAGCTTCACAGATGTCTCAGTGCCACTCTGATTCCTCACCTGAGTGAGGAAATGAGTGGAGCAGGAGGAAGAAATGGTTGTCCCCAGTAGCACAGCAGTGTTAGCCTATCTCATTTTCCCTCAGAGTGCTCAGAGAAATGCTGTGCAGCTTGCAAATTATCTGCTTTTCCTTCTCTCCTTCACAGGAAAGTATATGTCTGCTAAATGCACTGAGACTTCTGACAGTGTGTGCCAGCCATGTGGCCCCAATGAGTATATGGATGTCTGGAACGAAGAAGACAAATGCTTGCTACATAAAATATGTGACCAAGGTGAGCTGTTCATACTGGAGAACTTTTTAATCCAAATTAGTGAAGCATGAGATGGGCAAGTGGATCTAGGGAATATCCTCCTTTGAAGTTTGAAGTATCCTTCCTTTGAAGGTGCGTGGCAATGAGTGCTCAGCTTGCACAAAAGAACCTGGTGGATGGGGAAGTCCCCAGATACCAGAGGGTTTTGCTTCTATGCACTGCTGAACACTGCAAATATGGTCTTCATGATGCTGAAAAGATTATCTTCAGTCAGGCCATTCACTCCCTGTGAGTTGGATCTTAATGTCCTTCTGCCCAGCATATCTTGCACTCACTTCTGCCCTTGTCTCACTCTTGCAAAAGCTCTGTTTATTTTCTACAGGAGCTACAAGGAAAAGTATTGCTCAGGAGCCCAATCAGTGAGGCTGATCAATGGCCTCCTACGCTTCTTGAAAGATTCCTCTAACATGAGTGGTTTCACCTCTGGCATTCGAGCAAAGCAAATAGGTAGAACAGGATGTAAACTCAAGGCTTGTTATCAGAGAGATATTTACTGCCATCTGCTTTCTCTTCTAGGGAAGGCTTTGAAAGAGGTGAACCCAGGAAACAGCACGTTCCAGCGGCAGTGTGCCTGTACCACAGGTTACCACTGGAACGAGGACTGCGACTGCTGTCAGCGAAACACCGTTTGTGCTCCGGGGCTTGGAATTGTGCATCCTGGTGAGATACAGAGAGGGGACATACGAATGAAACATCCAATCTCTGGCCTACACTGTGTGGGTTGTGACATTAAAGAGTAGCTACTGTAGACTCTCAGAGCATTACTACTGTGTGTAACTCTCCAGGACTATTTGCATTTGAAAGGCTTCTGCCTTTGTAGTTAAAGTAAAATCTTGAATCAAGTGAGGTTTGCCAGCTTTAACATGGGCATGGCAATAACAGCAAGGTCTTCAGTGCGTTTCTAGTGTTTGCTGAGGTGCCTGACTGTGGATCATTAATTTATGCATTGCCTCCAGCTTCAAAGAAGTGATCCACCAGTGGTTGTTGCTGCGGTCAGATTTGAAATCAGTTTTTATCAAATGGCTTTGTTTTGCCATTCTATGAGGTTATGAGTTAAAAGCTATGAACACCTCTAAGGTAGCGCAAGCGTTCCTTGCTTTAGATGACATGCAATGCAAAAATTTATTACAGACATGCAATTTAGTCCCACATCTGACAGAAAGCAAAATGCAGGTATTTTGTGGGTGGAAAATGGAGATGGTTAAGTTCAGGGTTGTAATGGACACTGGGAACAGCTATATCACTGAAAATTCAGCACACAATAGAGCAATAGAGGACGAAATGCTGCATGGGCTTGGAGCAGAGTGGTGGTGTTTTTCCTGCAATCTAGCAAACTGTGATACAGAACTTTGTTCACTGTGGCTTCACAGAAGTGACAACATCAGTTAACGTCACTGCCTGTGTTGTAGCATTGACAAGAGGAAGTTAATGGAAGTGGACTCGTATGAGAGCAGTGTATTATTTTGCAATAACTGGAAATGGTGCCTGATCATTTTTTATTCTGATCGTGCAGGGGAATGTGCTCCTCTCACCTGAGCACTTTTTTCTGCCTATGTGTGACTGTCTGCTTTATTACAATTTTAGATCCCTCTATCTTCAGGAAAGCTTTTGGGGTGGGAGTGGAGTGGGAGGATGGGGGAACATAGTCACCTTCCCCTCACTTGGAAAGAACTCACAGAAACTCAGTGGTGATGTTTTTCTTCCTCTGCTACACACAGTGCAGCAAGATAAGGACACAGACTGTATGCCATGTCCCAGAGGCTACTTCTCAGAGTTTGCTTCATCCACTGATGAGTGTAAATCCTGGACCAAGTAAGTTACTTTGCCTTCCAAAAAGCCTATTACAGCCACAAGGCAGTGAGAAGCTTGAGCAAACACACTTTTCAGTGGAGTGTCTCTGCTTCTCGGTGGCATTTATAGAGCATGTCGGTTGGCTGGATAGAGATAAGGGCTTTCTCATGTTGGATCTCAAGTCTTTCTGGGGTGGAGAAAGACAGCTAGGACAGCAACTGCTGAGTTGACATAGATGAAGATAAAGAAGGTGTCTGAGCTTCAGGATGGAGAAATGCAAGAGTACTTTACAGCAGAAAGTATTACTCTGCAGAAATGTAGGAGCCACAATGAGCTCTGTCTTTGGGATTCTAGCTTCTTTGTCTTTCCTTTTTAGCTGTTCAGCTCTGGGATTGGCAGAAATAGTCCCTGGGACTGATAAATCGGATGCAGTTTGTACAAAGCAGAAGATGGCTGAGCAACCAGAATATGGTATGTGTCCTCATAGGGCTTATCTATTAGAAAGTACAGGGAGGAGAAATATATGTTCACTAGGGTTTCTGGCTGGCTTAACTCCTTTCCCACTGTGGATGAGTCAATGGGAATCAGCTGTAGACCAAGACAGAGCTCTTGTGAAATCTTACCTAGAGCCTAGCAGCTCTAGGGCCCATGCCCAGTGCTAAGCAGTGCTTCTCACTTCTCTCTGAAGCTGCATGGTGAGCAGTTGCTATTATACATCCATCATTTTTCCATCACATTTACTGCTCTTTAATTTGTCAGCCTGCCGGTTTCTGCGCACGTTAACAGAAAGGCCATTGACTTCTTGTGTCTCCTGCCTAATGTTCCTTTCTTGCCAGTTGCCCTCTTCTCTATCCTGTGAAGTGATTCTTAGACGAGGACAAAATTTTGCTGGCTGAATTCTGTAGCTTCCACAAGTTATGCATCCCTCTCATCTTGAGACAGAGCAAGCACAGCCCATAGGCTGCTGGTGGATTGCAAGAAAACTTTCAGAGGAGTGTGGCTGAGTCATACCTCCCTCAGACACTAAGTAGTGAGATGGCTCTGTACCATGTACCTTTAATGAGACTGGTTGTCACACAACTCCATAAGTGCTAGAGTGTGGTCCTTATTATAGAAACTGAAAATCGGTTAGGAAGAACAAAACTGCTCTCCTGTGGAAAAGCAAATGACAGGAGCAAGGATTGTCATACTGCTGAGAACAGCAACATGTTGATGGTATGATCTTTCTTATACCTTACAGGAACAAACAAGATCTTGTATGTGTTGATTGTCATCTTGTTTTTTGTGGCACTAATTGGCATTGTCATCTTCATCGTATACTACAAGAATAAGGGGAAGAAGCTGACAGGTACATGATAGCTAATGTTATGTGTGAATGTGACAGCTATGTGTCTATTTGTGCACTCTGTTTTCACAGGTACCCACCAAGATATGAAACTCAGGAACTTTTTTTGAATTCCTGTCCATATGGGTGTCTTGACTAGCACAAAGCTGGGCCTGAAAATCTTTCCTATAGGCAGGAGTATGTTACACCTAGCATAATGCACCTTGCTCAGCATCTTCCTGCAGCCAGCTGTGCCAGGGAGATGAGTGCCTTGAGACTGGATGTAGCCACGACATGTATGATGGAGGGGTGGGGGAGAGTGGTGTATCAGCATGGTAACTTTGCACTGCCTGGCACAGAAGAGGAAAGCAGGGGGAGAGTAACATAAATAGTAAATATATATATATAATCTAGCGAAGATACACTGGATAACATTGGATTTTTGAGTATATTGTGAATAGGACAGAAAAATTTCCTGCAGTTACTCGAATCTGTGTTAAGATGTGGGTCTTCACAGTTAAGAACATAGTCTTAGTGTTCTTTTCATTTTTTATTTTCTTCCCCTAAACATGGAAAGCATTTCCTGCCCTATTTTTCCCTCGATCTCCTTTCCTAAGCCCCAGAAATCTATGAAATGTTTTGGGAGCAGTGGAAGGGAAGGCAGCAACCCTTGTAAGGTATTTTTCAGCCCATTTTTTAGAAATATGCTGCCTCTACCACACTAAACATGGGTTGTGCTAAATCTGGAATTCCTGGGATGGGCTGAAGGAAATGGTGACTCTCCTTGCAAAGCAAATACTTATGATGCACAGCAGGTTAGGGGAGAGTGCTCTTTACTTAACATTCCTATTGACCTGGTGCTCTGCAGTGACAGTCCTTCATTGCCTTTGCGCAGTAGATCCTAATTAGAGTACCAGAGACTTGCAGGCTCAAGAAAAAACTCTTCCTGAGTCTGCCTTTGGGGACTGATTATAAACGTGCAGACCTGACATCAGAGGTACAGAGTCATTGCTGGGAAGTGACAGGGGCTAAGTGACTTATCTATCTTCAGATATACAAAAACCAGTGCAAGCTTAAAGCAAAACTTAAGCCCTGCACAATCTCCTGAAAGCATAAATAGCAAGAAGAATTGCTGTCTCCATAAAACAGCTTTAAAGCATTATTCGACTTGAAGATTTTCCATGGGAGATACTTCGATAAACTGTGTTTCCTAATTAAGTACATCCCTGTTACGTGGAATGCTATACTTGAGACTGCCATCCCGTGGTTTCAGTGGCTTACCCTCTTCTCTCCAGTCTCCTCACTCCTGTCTGGGAATGGTCTTTGTGCCATCCATGTGACTTCTCTTGAAATAGACTGCACCGTTCTAAGTGGGTCGGTATCGGGCCAGTCATAGTGTGGTGACATATGACAAGGAAAGAAACCCCATTTGATGTGGAACACAGTTTAACGTGATCTATCTTAGGAGCTTGGAAACATTTGTTCCACAGAAATACATCCCTGTTCCAGTTAGAATGAATCCTCAGACAGCCTGATGCTGGGACACTTGAACAGTCAGTAAAAACAGTCTTGCTGGTTTTCATTTACTATAATATTATGGGTCGTGAATGACTGTGGGTGTTTAGGTCTGTGGCTAGTTTCAGTGCCTGCTCTGTGTTACAGCTACTCTTTCGTTTTCCCTACAGCAGATCTACAGAATTGGGCTAACGAGGTGTGCAGCCAAATGAAAGGAACAAAGGTAAAGTCAGGGGCACTAAGATTTTCCCTCTGTTTTATGGTTTCCTCAAAACATTCCTGACACCCCTCCTTACTTTAGACTTCATATTAGTGTTTGGCTAGAAAACAAATTTGGAGTTTCTCAAAAGCCACTTACAGCTTTGGCTTTTTTAGTCTTTTTTTCTGTAAATGTGAGGCTTATGAAATCAAGATTCTCAAATAGCTTCTGAACCTGCTCTCTGGTTTCAGCCAGCTTTAACAGTGGTGACAGTCTCTGTGATGATTAAATATTCGTTAGAAGGGAAAGTTGAACGTGAGCCCATGCTACTGAACACCTGAGACTCTCACCTAAGAGAGAGCCGTTCTGAATTCTAAGGCTGGGAAAAACTAAACATGAGTTGCATGCTTTTACATACCAGAGTCCTCATGGGAGAGAGACCTGGATTTGGTGCGACACCAGGAGTGCTGAACACTCAAGGAACTAAGAACAGAGCCATCAGCTAAAGGAAATGGCCACAAGCCCCTTCAATTCTGTCAGTCACTGAAAAACCTCGTGTGAAGAGCGTATGACCTTCCAAAGGGTTTTGCTCTGAAACAGCCTCAGATGCCCTTGCTTGAAACTCTTGGTTGGGAGCAAAGATTCGCATGCATTTGCACTGTGTGATTGACATCAGGGATGCAGACTGAGGTCCCCTAGCTCCCACGTGCATGCTCTTCCATTGCCCCACCTGCCAGTCTAAGAACTCTGTCTAGCTTAGATGTGGTAACACTCAAGTCCTGTTGCTACAAAAAAGAAAACAAACCCAGCAGCTTTTTGAGCAGGCAGTTCCTCTTTTGTCTCATAAATGTTCTTGCAATGTCCTGCACTGGCAGCTGCTCAGATCCTCTGGGACAGAAGAGTGAATCAACAGCAATTAGTGGCTGGCAGCATTTACTTTGTGTCCTCCACTGTGGAGGAAGGGAACAGATGCTAGAAATGAAAGGTAGCGGTTCCCAAATACCCATCATTATGCATGACTGGCAGGAACTGAAGGGAACCCTTGAAGTATTTCCCAAATCTTTATTTTTTATGGAGCTTCAACCAAAAATATAACTTAACTGTAAAAGTATTGGCAAAATGATGTCACAGGCATTTGCAATTGCTGTCTTAAAGTATTCCAGGTTAAAGCAACCTTGTCTGTTTGACTTCTATTTTTCTAGCACGTCTCTGAATCAATCCAATATTTGAATCAGTTATTACTACTATTACTATTTTATGGTTACTAATAATGATTTTGCTCACAGTGAGGTCTTCACAGATCAACAGCCCTTCGAAGACGTAGATTATTCAGAGGAGTTACAAACCTTTTAAGCAGTTAGGTAGGTCTAACCAGTGTCCACAAGAAACAGCAGAATCCAGCAGCCCTTCTAGGTTTATTAACTCTCAGGTGCTCTGTTGACTGGTTAGACTTGATGATCTTGAAGGTCTTTTTCAACTGAGATGATTCTGTGATGCTTGAGAGCTGGCCAACTCTATTATCCGAGATTATGTTTTATGGAATCCAGCAATGCCACTCAATCCCATCAGCTCCATGCTGAGGAAGCATTAAGGCACGCCTACTTCTTCTTCGTTCAGAAAACAACCTTCAACCAGTTCCTTTATTAAATACAGTTTTATTTCAACTTTCTTTCAGGAGCCATCCAGAGATGCCTACGTTACTGTAAACATAACGAACACCACCGTCCCGCGGCTCTCCGAAGACATGCGTCTCCTGGGCCCTGCTGGCTCCCCTGCCCCCGGGAGCTCGCCCTGTGCTCAGTCCACGTGCAGGCACGGCAGCCCAGGCACGGCACCCTGCAGGGCTGGGGGAACCTTCCAGGAGATCTCCGTGGGGACTGAGACCGATGATGATCATTTCTCCCCCGTTCCCACGGAAGATGAATATATGGATAAAGATCTCAATACTGCCGATTATTTACCTTTACTGAGTCAGCCTGACAGTAAAACTTTGTCACTGTTTTCAGAACCGGTGGAGATAGGGGAGAACGATAGCTTAAATCAGTGCTTTTCAGGGATCGGGAGCACAGAGGATGTGTCCATCCCTCGGGGCTCTGACCCTTCCTCTGATGCAGATGGTGTACATGCCACCATGGACAAATACCTCCAGAAATCTTGCCAGCATTCCCATGGTTGCCCAAAGGAAATTGACAGCAAAGACACAGATCGTTTCGCAATGAACCGTGACTCAGAGAAGATCTGTGTGAGGTGTGGCATTTCATACAAGGAGACTCCCAGAAAGGGGAGCAGACCCTGCTGTGCTGCAGTTGTTGGTGCCTCCACCTCCCCAGAAACTGGATGCTACGCACAGTGCACCTGTGGCTTGAATTTTCTCTCTGCTGGTCAGAGCCCTCTAGCAAGTGACCATGGTATGGAAGATGTGTCTTCTGATGGTACCAACACAAAGTACCAGAACACAAACAGAAGCACTTCAGGGACAAACAGCAGCACTTCAGACCTCCCTCCAGCATCCGGTAAGTCCATGGGGATTGGCCTGTACACAGTTGTGTAGGGTTAACTTCAGTGCTAATTTGGTGTTGTTCAGAATGTCTGATGTGGGAGAAGGGAAAAATGAAATGATGCTTTTTCACTTAGTTGCCCTGAAGCTAATCTGAAAGACAGAAGTGAAATAGGATGGCCATTTGGTTTACAGTGAATTTCACATGTAGCGTGAGCACTATGAGGGATCTCTGTAGGGGACTAAGAAAGAGGAGAGAATAGTGACCAAAAGGCTGAAGTGAGAAGAGATGCACAACTCTGAAGGGCATGTTTTCATTCTGCAGCCTGCATGTGCATTTTTGCCCTTGCCATTAGGTTGCAGTCCAGTTACAGTCACATGGTGGTCCATGGAACCGGCTGTAGCTGTAACCTGCTGATCATGGTTGGGTCTGAGAGACAATGATCAATATTTTGCTTTTAGCTCTTTCTCTTTGTTTTAAATTGCTAATGTATGCAATTTATATTTATACATATATAATATATAAACAAAAGTAGGTGAATTTTGTGATTTGCTTAAAAATAATTTCATATAGACATTTTTTCCTCTAAATATTAGCACTCTGTCTCTAAACAACTTTGAAACACCGATGTCTCCAGTTTTCTAATTGGCTCCTAAGTTACTAGTTCAGGGAATATAGCAAAATAGTTGAAATGAAAGCAGGGATAAAAACCACCAAAGAAGGCAAGTTATGAGCCTTTTCTGGATGAAACTTACGTCTCTTTTCTTCATTATTAAAAGCCTGCAATCTTTTTGTCGTATCTTATTAGCCATTCAAGTTGATAATCTCCTGAAGACAGATGCTCTGTTTTTATTTGCCTGTGCACTGCCAAGCATAACAGGACCTTAGTTTTGTCTGGGACATCTGAGTGTTACTGTAATACACACAGCGATCATCAGCAGTTGCCCTTCTTTAAAACCACATCATGCCTTAACGTTTCTTATGCAGGCATTCTTGTCAATCTGCCAAAGACCAAAAGTGACACTTTGAAGACCCGCAAGTGAAATTTTGAAGGCCCTTCCCTTCTAAACATACAGTGCTGTGCAGGAATCTCGTAATGTGCAGTGATCTTTCTAAGAGCAGACACTCTTTCTACTGCTTCAGTTTCCTGAAATCTTTAAGTAGTTTCACTGCTTGATGTGTACAAAAGTCAGAAGTAGCAAAGAAAGATGGATTTTATTTCTGTGGAAGGTGACTCTGAGGTACTACTGAAAGTCAAGTCATATCTGGTACTGCAGAAGTACTGCTTTTCTTTCTGAATCGCTCGAGAAGAGGAAGAGAAAATAGTAAGGAACAAGAGGGCAAGCAGGTTTAAGTGCTTGCAAATGCTATCTTCACTCTGCACCATAATTCTTTATAATGATTTTCACTGTGTCAGTACCTTTGGCTGTGTACTTGCTATCGTGCTATCTGGTGAAACCTGAGCATAGATGGAGAGTTCCTGGTTCACCCCAACCTTGGCATAACTGCCTGGAGGTGCTGGCTGAGTCGCAGGCAGTGAGAGTGTGGGTTTAGTCAGTATGGAGCTGATGTGCTTTCTGGAGTGGCCTCGTCTGCCTGTAGCGTGGTGGGTGCCCTGGTGTGGCACTCTCCAGCTCATTCTGGGGCTGCTGGTGGAGCTGTGGTGGTATAACGCATTTTGCTGGGCCTTGTGAAATGCCCAGGTGCAATAAATATGCATACGTAACAAAGCTTCTTCAGGCAGCTACTTTGGATGCAGCTGTGCTAAGGCAGAACTGTATGAAAGTGGGTGGATGAAAAAATGGGAAGAAAAATGATGTGGGTAATTCCATGGACTTTTGGTTTTAGTTTCTTAGTACTCAGAATGACAAGGGAAATTGCAACATCTGCTCCTGATGTGAAATAACCCTAGAAGAACCAAAGCAAACCTCTGGACAGGTGTCATTCAGGCTTCATGGATAGTAATTGATAGGAGCCTTCAAGCACCTTTCAGATCTCGCTGAGCCTGGAAGCAGTCAGAATGTGGAGCATTGGATCTTGGCCATCTCAGACCTTGTGCAGGACTTCAGCATCAGGCATGAGTGGTGGAGGACTCATGGTTATGCAGAGCCTTCACATTCACAGCCCACACCATCCCAGCTCAGCTACAAGAAGCAACATCAGATGGCTCTGAGGAAATTAATCACTTGCATTGTTCCAGTTCCTAGCAGATAATTACCACAAAAATATATCTGTTTTTGTAACTAACATCATCAAGAGATTGAAAGGCTGAAGTGTTGCAGGCAGCAATGCCTTCATTTATCCTCTGAAGGAGTCCTTTATGTTATCTGATTGGAAGCACGTTTCTTAGTGCAACCCAGGAAGTTCTTGTGTCCGTTTGCTCTTCTTAATCTCGTACTGAGCTCAGGTGAACTTTTACAATGCCTTTTTTGAGTGAAAGGCAGTCCATGCAAAGGCAAACAGGTATTGGTGTAGCCTCATGGTGCCTGACACAGTTGTGTTGATGGCAAGCAATTAATCTGAACACAGGGGAAGCACCTAGGAGGGAAAAATCCCTGTGGAAAGCACTCAATTGACACCTCGTGTTCATCAGCAATACTTGGAAAGAAAGCAAAGAGCCAGCGGTGTGATGGTTTACCTGAAATAAATAGGATTGCTTGAGGGGAGCTGTTAGAAAGATGCTCCAGTACTGCCTAGGCTTGGTTGGGTATCGCATGAGGTCTTCACTCAGCTCTAGTGAAATCCAGTGGTGTATAAACAGCACCTGGGGGTGTAAGCAGCACTCTTGGCTGCTGGAGAAACAGCACTTCTCTGGGCTGGGCCGTGCTCAGTGCCTCTCATGTCTAGAAAAGCATTAAGGAAATGACCAAAATATCCCAAGAGATGCATGGTCAATCTGCAAGTTGTGATTAAGTGAAGCTCAGTGGGAAAAAAGCATTTATAAGGAGTGATGTTCATAGGCTTTGAGAGTTTCTCTTTGGTTTGATCGGTTTTATTTCGTTCTGGGGACGTTTGTTAGTTTGTCATTTAAAGTTTGTTCTTGGATATTTTCTTTCTGTTCTGAGATAAGTTTGTTAATTCCACAGCCTGGTCCTGCTGTCACTTGAGTCAGTGACCTAGTCCTTGAATTACAGAAAGATTGAATAAATACTGAAAATTCTCTGACTACAGGGAGACTTGCTGAAACCGTAACACTGTTGGGTTGCTGTGTATAGATTGTCTGTTCCCTGTAGCGGGCTGTATCCCAATAAGTCCATGTGGGCACAGGGGGAGTGCTGGGATGTGCCTGTGTGGGAACGCAGACAATGCAAGGTAATCTTACAAGCTCCATTCCGTGTGACTGCAATGGCCTGACGTTAAATCTTTCAGCATTTATTGATTAAACCTGCTATTTTGTCTACACGCTAGGAGTGATCACGTACCAAGGGGGAAAACAAGATACTAATAGCTGTTTCCTCACTAACTGGAGGCAGTCTGCGAGTAGCTCATGTGTCCAGAGGCAGTGGGAGGATGAGATTATCACGCTTTCTCGCTTGTGGCAGTGCAGCATGTAGGAACAGCTTTCCCAGATGCCACAGACAGCCCCCCCTGAAGCAACAGGCTTCATCCTGAGGAGGCACAAGTGGAAATCGTGAGAAAGCCCCGTGGAAGGCATTGATTATGAGAGCATCCCTATGTCACGGGGAAAAAATCATGGAACAAAAGCAAAGCTATCGCAGCGGATTGAACTCACAGTGCTAAACATCCTCCTCATGAGAGAAAATATTAATCATGCCTGTCTTCTTTTCTCCCCCCTCCTTCCCCAGGAAATGTGACTGGAAATAGTAACTCCACGTTTATTTCCAGCGGACAAGTAATGAATTTCAAGGGAGACATCATCGTCGTCTACCTTAGCCAGAACTCCCAGGAGGGAGCTGTGGCCTCGGGAGCAGCCGAGGAGAACGTCAGCAGCCCAGTGCAGGAGGAGAACGCCAGCCGCTGCGAGACCTTCGCCGGCAATGCTCAGCACTACAAGGAGAAGTGCGCTGAGCTGCATGCCAACATCCCAGTGGGCAGCGGCGGGACGCGGCAGCACACAGCCCCAGTGCCAAGCCTGGCCCGACACGGCGAGGCCTCACCGCCCGTGCAAGAGGAGGGCAGGCTGGGGCACAGCTCGGAGAAGGTGTTGAACTGATGTGAGACACCATCCCACGAGGGGTCGTCCCCAGATCCCGGTTGCTGGGACAGATTTGTTTCTTCCGAGAGCGCTGCTGGCCCCGGGGTCCTCCAGGAGACTTGGGATTGGGAGGCCAGGCCCTGCGGGCTGCCTGTCTCCTCAACGGGGTGGCAAGTTCTCCATGACTTTCCCGAACAGCAGCGAGGGACAGCTGAGGGAAACTCAGGCTGGGGGATTTGGCGAGAGGGAGGATGTGGATCACCAGTAGTCGTCCCCTCCTGGAGAGGGGCAGCATGCTGGAAGGGGCTCCAGACCAAGGTATTTTTTTTTTTACTGGATGGGAATTGTAGTAGCTCTGTAGGTGATCCCTCTCACTGGGACTTCAGTCATCCTCGATACCTCCCATGAGAGAAGGAAGCAATGGCCACCTCTGCTGCTGAGCTTGGTGCCCACCTGGCAGGGCAGGGATGGAGTAGGTTGCTTCAGCCCTTCTCATCAAAATGTAGCAGGAGCTCCAGTTCTAAACCAGCACAACAGTCAAGATCCTTGCCTGCCCCTTGCTAACTTGTGGGTGTGAGTTGGTATAGCACTGCCTTGGGTTACAGTAACAGGCAAATTAGCACTGATATGCCTTGAAAGTGAATCAGATTAATCCTGAACAAGAAGCATTTTTATAGTTTTGAACCCTGATTCACTGCCACCTTACTGCATCTCCTCAGAGGAACACAAGCCCCTGCAGCTGAAGATGAACGGCTAGCAGGTGAAGGAAGGATCTAGGACAGCTAGCTGCAGACATTTCCCAAGTGACAGGAGAGGGAGGAAGTGCCTAAAGATGGAGAGTTTGCTGAGGGTCAGGCACATGTTCCTTCATCTGCCACAACAAATTTGTCATTCCCGTTGATCTTTTCATTTATAAGCAGCGCTTTATTTAGGCAGCATGAAGTGATTTCCAGAGCTCAGCCTGTCTGAGCTGAAATCACTGTAACCACTGTCACACTTAGAGCTGTAGGACCAAGGGATTGGATTCAAAGAATAATAGCGATTGTTAGTAGAGTCTCAGCTACCCAGGTGGCTTTGGTTCAGATCCTGCATCCTTCAGCCTCCTCTACCAGCCACTGCGGAAAGGTGAAGGGAAAAGAGCCTCAGGGAACCCCCAAGAAGAAATCATAGTATTTTTTACATTTCCTGACCAGGGGTAATTTTCTGATGTTCTCCTTATGCACAAGAGTTGCAGGAGCAACTTCAGTCTGAACGTATAGGAAGATCAGTGCTTGTTTCCTGCCAGAGTGAAGGGATCTCTGAAATGTATTCTCATCTGCTCTGACAAAAAAGATCTCAGCAGGGAGGGCTCCTCTCTAGAAAGTTATTAAAGCTGTTTGCAGTAGCACTGCTCTGAGGGTGAAGAGAACCCATGAAGCTAACAGGGTGACCACTGTGTCATGATGAACTTCTCATCCACAGAACAAAAGGATGGCCTCAGCCTCCCTCATCTCTCAGGAGAATAATTCTGCATTATTTATATAGCTGGGGTGGAAAGCTCAGCCCAGTTGTGCGAGACTCTCTTGGGTTGCTGGGGCAAGGGGTGTGTGACCAATTCGAATCCCTTTCACCTTTGTGTGGCCTTCAAGAAAGCAGGCCATCTGACCTGAGGCTCAGCCAGGCAGGAAGGCTGTGCCATTCAGTGATGGCCAGTGCTACCTCTTCCTCTTTGAAGGAGGTGTGCAACTGGGGCTGTCTTATCTGTGGTACTGATTTGTCTCTCCTGCTGGATCCTGTACCCACCTCACTGTAGCCTCTTCAGGCCTGCGTCTGTATCCTCCAGGCACTGGTGCAGTGGGGACAAGGAAGCAGAACTGCACATCAGGTTCATGCCAGCTTGTGCAGATCCTTTCCTGCTTCAGTTTTGTAGATGTATTTTTACAGAAAGCATTGTTCTAGGGCACCACTCAGCCAGCCCATTTACAGGACAGGAGGGACTGAATTAGTGCGCTCAGCTCTGGGTGAACCAGCTGCACACAGGTCTGTCTCCTTCTTCATCCTGTGGTCTCCAGGCACCACCAGGGAGCAGGCTCAAAATCTTGGTGTCAGAGAAGACAATGGGAAGTTTACTGTGCTGTTGTCGTCAGTGAGGGATTTTTCCCTCGCTGAATTATAGGATTCTGCTGAGTGGGTTTTGAAAATGGGATCAGCAGCAGGCATGAAGAAGAGGGTCATTGGGATCTCAGCACTTTGGCCGCTCCCGTATGGGAAACACACCGAAAGGTCCAATTCTTGGTCTTCCTCCAAAGCCTGTGTAAAAGTGAAGAAGCCATATCACAGTCATCAGTGTGCTGCATGCTCCCCAGGTCTCTGCCTGGCTGCTTAGATGTGGACCCCAAAAGGGACTTCTGTACCTTCGTGACTTCACATGTTGTCAGCTTGGAGCAAAGGCTGGTGTTTAACATGTCTTTGTACAACAGGGCCTTGTGCATTGGGCACTAACTTGGAGGCTTCTGGCTGCTATTGTAATACACATAACTAATGATAATAAAAATCTTAAGGCCTATTTGAGAATGAGTGAAGATTTGAATTAACGGAGAAAATCAAATATGTTATTATTTGCCCACACTCGTTTTTACAAAAATAAATCATTAATACAAAAACATTCCTGGATAGGCTTTTGTAACCTTCTTTATATGTGGAATTGTTTTAACAAAATTCTGTATTACCATCAGAAAACGAGGAGCAGGCTTGTGCTCAAGTGCACCAGAGCAGCTGTTCATAACCCCATGAAAATCAGTATGGGGTTAAAGATCAATATGCACAAGAACTGCTGTTAATCTCAGTGCCTTGCTGCACGTTCAGACACAGATGAGAAATTGCTCTGCAAGGGGACTGCACACGTGGCACTTCTACCTGCCCATTCCCTTCCTCCAGGTTTCCTACCATAGCAGTGGTACCTCAGCAACTGCACCGCTGTGTCTGTTACAAGAGGAAACCCTGCTGAAGGCTGCCTTTGTGCTCATCAGGTATTTTAGTAGAACTGTAGTTTTAGCCATTCAAATTAGCCTTAAAAACCATCCACAGTGTTGGAGAATTCCTTTCTGTCAGCACGTGCCAGCGAACACGGTAAGCTGCTGCAAATTCTTTGTGTGGAAAAGATATTTCTGGAGCATGTAATATATGTGTTCTTAATAGACAATTATAGCCACTGTAAAATGGAAGTGTATTTGACCACATTGCCTGAGGTTTTTGTGAGGAAGGCTGAACTGCTCTGAGCTTTACAAGTTGGTTTTCTCAGCCTCCTTCTGAATGGCTGTCACCCTTTTGAGTAGCCCAGGGATACTTTTGGTCCACTGGGGATCTTTCCCCCTGACCTGAAAGGCACACACTCCCCACAGCCTGCTCAGGGCAGCACTTTGCAGCACTCTCACTTGCAAATGTGGGCATGGGAGAGAGCTCTGCCAGCAGAACTTGGTCTCATGGGGGATTCTCACCCACCGCCACCCCAGGATGCTGAATATCTGCCACATGCATTCCTGCATCTCTTGGAAAATCAGACTGCTTGTGACCATAGTGGCCACCTGAATGCTCAGCACCAACAGCAATAAGCTTCATTTCAGAGTGAAAGATTGTCATGGGATGTTTTTCTCCTCTCTTCCTTTGTGCTGTCTTACTTTCTAGAATGAAGAGTGAGTTGTTTCTATACAATAAATTATTTCTCCCAGAGCCCTGCCATATGAGTTTACTCTGCCTCCGTGCTGCAGTGTCAATCACCTTGTTGAGTGGGAAGATCGGAGTAGGGGAGGCACATTCGCACAGCTCCTTATAGTTCCAGTCTATCCAAACCATTTACATAGTAAAAAATGTTTCTTTACATCAGCAAAACGCTGTGAGGGACAAATCAAAGAGCAGCATTTCCCCCTCGAGCCAAGAGGAGGAACTGCTGCTGTTCAGATGGTATTGCTAATTGCATGTGGCGTCCCTTCTAGAGGAGATAATGCAGGAGAAAATCCTTTTTTCTTTTTTTCCTGTTCTTGGAGGTTTTTTCATACATTATTTCCTTTCCAGCTCCACTGTATATGGGGTGATTTACTTAAGCTGAGTAAATGTTATTTTCAGTCTTTGTGACACCTTCACATCCATTCTACGCGGCAGTCTAGTGACTGGTGATGAGCAGTGTGCAGTTTTATTGCATTGGGAGCCTCTGCTATCACCCAGTGATGGCACCCTCAGAAGTCGCACCATGAGGGTCCTCTCCTTAACAGCTGCCCCTTGCATTTCCCCTTGCTCTCTATTCTAGAAGTCTGCTTGCCTGCTTTTGCCTTCTGTGGGGCATCAAATCTGTTGGTGGCTACCAGTGTTGGTATCATCTCCACAGCTGGACTGGCTGCCTCTCCGCTCTTGCTTTCAGGGCCCACCAGTGCTCCTCGCTGCACTGTCCAATATTTGCTGAGTCTTTGTGTAAAGTGGAGCATACGTGGGCCCAAACATAGGGAAATGCACTGCTACAATTCTCCTGGCTTATGCATGAGGCAATGATAGGGTGCAGCATCTCATCTGGGAGCCCTGTTGTGATGGATGAGAACCCAGAGTGCCTGACTGGATGTGTCTTAACACTGCCTTTTCTCCTTTTGGATAGCTGGCTGTGGCTTCTTTATTTTGGCTGAGGATTACCAGGTTCTTTATGTGCTTAACCACCTGGTTGATCTCCAGACGTTGCACTAGCTTTTATTAGCATGAAAGTTGACCAGTCTGTTGTATCTGACATATCTACTGATGGCCTCAGTTCTAAGCATTATCTGCAACAGATCATATGCAGAACTGCACCCAATTTCAAGGAAATTGCACCCGGTTTCTGGGAAATTGTACCCAAGGAAAGCTGCTAAAGAGGCTGAAGAAGCTCAGGAGTGCCAGGACCACTCATACAAACTGAGCATACCCAAGTCGATGGGACTTGGCAGCACATGTCAGAGGGGGCTTGAAGGACTGGACGACGTGACTGCAAAGCCACGCTTCGACATTTGTAGCAGGGGAAGTCCCAGATGACTGGAAAAGGGCATATATTACACCCATCAACAACAAGTGCAAAGAAAGATTTGGGAAATTACAGATGAGTCAGCCTCACTTGAGTCCCTGGAAAAATTATGGAGCAGATTCTCATAAAACTTATTTCCAAGAAGAAAACTGAGAGAAGCTAATACCTACCTCAGCTAACCCAGCCCTCTTCCACTGTCAGAATTCACCATTTGCTTTCTCGTTGCTTCAAGAGAGGCCTGAGAGGCTGACTGTGCTCATGGAGATGAAGGCAAAGAAGGCCTGAAGAAAAACCTTCACGTTTTGTCATCTGTAATTAACCTGACTGCCTGTTCAGCAGCGGCCTGCCTTTTCCTTGACCTATGTGACAGTATACCGTAAGTCAGTACTTCCTTGCTACTCTTTACATCTCTTGGAGGTCTGGGCTCTGGCTGGGCTTCGGTCTGCATCTCTGCATGCCTCGGCAGTACTTTTCTTGTTTCCTTTGAGCCTGTTCCCTCTTCCATACCTCTCACACTCCTTTCTGCAACTGAGCTCTCCCAGCAGCTCACTCTTCAACCATGCTGGTTTCTGTGCACATTTTGCCCTTCAGGGAGGCAGGGCAGGTGGCAGCACCATTTTGACTTTGCCACCCCCAGTGCTTTACACCAGGTACATCACCAAGCCACATAGAGCTGCTCCCCTTTCCCTCGGGGAAGGAGCTCAGTGGCCAGCCGCTGGCTCAGGTTTCCATCTGCGCCTCTCAAAACAATCAGTGTCGGAAAAACAACGTAAAATTGGCCGTAGGCAGCTGCAGAAGAGACAAAATCACAAGGCAGCGCAGGAGGACCAATTGTTTCAGATGCAGAAACCAAGGCCCTAATAGGCTTTTCCTATTGATCTGCACCAGATTTTAATGGCAGGCCATTTCAGTGAAGTCTCAGTTGTTTGAAGCTCCTTAAATGAGGATTTAGGAGGTGTTTTTCAGCATGCGGGCTAGACATTAAAGTTCCTAATTATTTAGTCTTTATGAAGCAGCTTGTTTCCTCTACTTTCTCTGCTTTTGATTCTTTCTAGCATTTATTTCTCTCTTTTAGTGTCCTGAAGTACAGAAGCTCCCGCTCCATGTGGGGAATACATAGCACTGTTTCCCTAAGGACATTTGCTTTTTGCATCATTTCAGTTCCTCGCTGGGCTTTTTGCAAGCTTAGTTGGTGATAAATGAGCCAGACAACAGATGGCAGAGCTCCCTCTGTTAACGTGGAAAGCGGTCCTTTACCAGGGGCGTCCACTTAAAAATGCAGCTGCCCGCTGGTGTGCAGCCAAACTTCCTCCTGAGAACGCCCTCTGAGAGCACTGCAGAGTGGGATGGATGCGAGTGGCTCTAATCACCTCCTCAGCAGGCTGCTGCTAAAGGCATCCTGCAGTGCAGCCCTGCTCTTTTCATCCTCACCCTGCAGAGAGAACAGCTCTGCCGGATGGGCAGCGTTTCACTGCATGTCAGAAGCTCATCCAGCTCATCATCTTCATTTAGCCAAACGGTCATGGCAAGGAGTTGTTTCTTTTGTCTGAAAGGATGTTGCATGGATAGCATAGAGAGACGCATGGAAATATATCCGCTTCAGTGCTTGGGTTGTGTGAGCCAGATCAGCCTGCCACATGTATGTGCTGCCATACTCTAAGGCTTTCCTTTCCAGAGCTGTCTTTTGTATCAGGTCTCACCTAGGTCCATTGCATTACGCTTTTGTCTGCTCTGTAATAAATATTGCAGCTAGTGCGTTTGAGGAATAATATTAGAAATCAGCTTAATATTCTTATTCTTTAGGGTGAGACTGAACTTGGGAGAAACAGACTCAGGAATACTTTCCCACTGACTGTTTTTAGAAGCTTTGAAGATCTGAGAGCTCTTGGATCCTCATGTTTTGCTGAGATGTTACACTGACGGTGAGCACTGCCATGGTGCCACCATTTTGCCCTCTTACAGCCCTTTGCTGCTGCAGGAGGGCAGGACAGCTGTAAGCTAAAGGTGTTACCGGATGAAACTCTCATGTGAGCCTTCTACCAGGCAGACGCACACTGTGCCCACAACACAGCTGCTGCGGGGACCGTGGTGCTGCTGATGGTGGGCACAGCAAACAAACTCACCCACAGCGACCTCTTTAACCTGCAGCCGACTGTGTTTCAAACAGCAAAGCTGTGCTTGCTTTGGCTTCTTTTTTCTTCTGGTTTTCTTTCCCTCTCTGAAGCTCACCATTCCTGTTTTTGGTGTAGATAAGAAGGTCGTGGCAGTCAGTGCGGTGGTGACTCACTCTCATGTTTGAGCAATGTGATCAACGTGGAAGCACCGAAGTGACCATGCAGTGCGTGCTCCCCGCGGGCTGTGTGCATGGAACGCGTCGAAATGGGTTCTTGCTGCCCTGAGCAGCGGCAGCACCGTGTGGAACAGCTTGTGAGCTGCGTGCCAGAGCAAAGACGTGCTGGTAGGAGGAAACAAAACCTCCATCTCTGCGATTTCAGTGTCATACACATCCTGTTCCCTCCCCCGGCGGCACCGGCACCGCTAGGTGGAGCTCTGGGGCAGCTCCTGCACAGGAATGGTTTGGGTTGGCCGGGATCGCCTGGTCCCAACCCCTTGCTATAGGCAGGGTCACCTCCCTCCTGACCGGGTTGCTCGAAGCCCATCCAGCCTGGCCTTAAATGCCTCCAGGGCAGCTGCAGCATCTCTGGGCAAGCTGTTCCAGTGTCTCACCACCTTCACAGACGCTGATGGTCTCCAAAAGAGATCTCACTGGCTGTCAAAATCAGTGGGACCTCGGGCTGCATGCACACAATGCACACAGTTATGTGTTTTATCAGACGGATACACGCAGAAGCTCGGCGAGCTGGGCTGCAGCCAGCACTGAGTGCCATTCACCAGCACGCTTTGCAAGAGCAGACATTCAATTAGGAGAAAACAAAATCCGAGGAGGAAATGATTGGTTTTATCTGTCTTGTGCCAGCTAGAAATTAAACCTTTGAAGTCAAAGACTGTTTTGTGCTGGTATTAAAGTGTTCCTATCTGGCTCTTGTTCTGCTGGGGCGAGAGCTGCCTCCTTTTGAAATCCTTTCCTCGAAATCTTCTCGTTTCTGAGCTGCCTTTGAGAGTAGAAATTCTGGAGGGCAAAAAAGTCTTAAAAGAGAAAAAGGAACCCTGAAATACACTGTATGGAGAATTACAGTCTGATTTTTTTATTACTGTCACTCACTGAGTCCAACCTCTGCATCCTTTCCTGAAGTGAGGGAGAAAGCAATTCTCGCTCAACACAACAAAAACAATTCAACTTATGAAATACCTACCATGACTTCTGCAGAGTCTGAATGATGACATTTATAGTATCAGAGGTGGAGTGTACTTGTGTGCATTTTTTCCACTTCAAAGTCTAAGACAAGCATTGATCTAGGGTAGATGATTTGTGAGCAAAGACTACTTACTGAGATTAAAAAATAGCATGTAGACGTAACACAGCTACTGTAAAAATGTATTTATTTAAAGCAATGATTGGAAGCCAAGTGATGGATAGCCTTATGGACTTTCCTTGCAGGAACAGCTACCACAGCATCAGAAACTGGTAGAACACTTGCGTTCAGATTCAAACCTGATGGAAAACACCAAACACAACTTAGTTTTGCTTAGGATAGATTTTAAAATAGCTGAGCAAAGCTGAGGTCACACAGCACTTGGT